GGCCTTGGTGTATTTTGATTCAAGGTTTATTCAATATTTCCTAATAGTTTTGGCTGAAAGTTATTTTAATTAATTGCTTGAATCAACGACTATGAATCATAAGGAAATTTGTACTTGACTCTATAAATGCATATTAATTGCCAACTGAAACACATACGATCCCACCTAGGGCTTTTGCTTTACTTATTAGCGGTACAGTGTTAGATGTTTTTGATTTTAAATCCGGGGAAGTACCAAATAATCAGATTTATTGGAAATGGCATACACATTTATGAGAATAGAAAATAAAATACTCGAATACAATACAATACAAAATAATTATGACTAAGGCGGACACGCATAAGGCTCACTTTTACACAACTATTTTGGATTTAATTATTCGAAAATCCCAGGAAACATAAAATTGTTACGGTCAGGCAGGGCGCAGAAGTCTGATCTTACTTAGTCTGACTTGCCCGTTAAAAGAACAGTGAAACGGACACGGAAATGTGTTCGCCCCATGCCCCACGAGGGGGAAACGGGCTTTCACTTTTTTTTATTCGGAAATCAACGAAATGAACGCTTTTTGTGTGTCGCATCCTGGACGGAGTTCGATATTCTCGACCCTTTTTTTTACGGACCAACAAATTCCTCAGCGAATCTATACAATTGCATATCTTTCTATTTTATTATCCATTATTAGATATTGTTTTGTTTTTTCTAAGTCTTCAAAATGACTTCAGCTAATTTAATGACATTTTTTGTATATATATAATATTTATTTGGAGACGACAGACGGTGTAAAATGAGTACATATAGCTAGGTAATAAATCTGTCAAGTACAGGATTTTTAAAGTTGTATATTTTAGTTACTGAATGTTGCAGGGAATAGAGCGGGGTATCGTATTTTTATGTGAGTTGTGATCGCCGATAAGTCACGGACTGGCTCCTGCGGTTGAAAGGAAAACAAAAAACGATTATTCAACCGAGGTCACATTTTTTATGGCAACACTGACCTTAAACCGATCTATTTTGTTTAGACTTTAGATAGGTTTTTATCACATTTCTTTGTGTTTTAGAATTTATTGTGATTTGATATCTGTGGCTTTGTCACACGGGTTTTGTGTTCGAAGCCCGGAAAACATGAAACAGTAATTAATATTATAGTAAGTATATACTAACATATACCATCTGTCATTAACGGCGGATTTTATACGAAATACTATTAATGAAACCTGAATATCGATAATTGTTGTTTCCGCTATTAGCAAATCCTTGGTTCTGTATCCCACGGTGCATGAATGGTTGTCTTATGCCTTCACGGTCGCACGCGCACGAAATATGACTAAGTGACTGAGGGACCTGTTTCGAACGTCGTTACTTACAACTGCACTTTAGTATTGAGATTTTTAACAACTCTACAGCGTATAAGTTAATACGAAATGCGCGCAGATGTATTGATTAAATATATATTTTTAACTTCTTTAAAATTTTATTACTTTTAATTACGTTTTAGGTGACGAAATATAATGTAGGTGTAGAACAACATTCAATGAGCTTTGATCGAAGCGACACACCTCGCTTAGTTGATCCGTGTGTGCGTACAAATTGTCAATTAATACTTTAAATAACTGTGAAATAGAGATAGAAGGCTGTTAGCGTCACGGTACTTAACTCCAGACGTGTCAATGACATTATTATTTTAACAGGTTTTCTTAGTTGATAGTTTAACGTGTGAAAAATCCAAAAATATTTCTCTACACCACAAAAAAACAACAAAAAATCAAATTCAAAACGATTTTATTTTTTATATTATTATAAATGGAAGAAAATCCAATAAAGAAAGAATTGAATTTTGTAATAGTGTAAGGACAACTTAAATTAGATAGTAGTTTATTCAATGCGTTACCCACAAACAAAATTTATATTCAGCTAAAATCGGAATTGCATATCCGTTCACTGCAATTAAAAATTTAAAAGGCGTGTATTGAATAACTTACGGTATAACGTTGTCTTTTTAATATTATGTAAGTATACACTTACATGTTATGTTATTCCCGGTTGCAAAAAACCTTTCCAAACTCTCACGGTTCACAAGTTCTGTGAGACAACACAACACGAAGAATGCACTAATGTTTATCATATAGCATTAAACGTAAATACTTTTATAGAGAGGATATAAACAGTTTGTTTATTTATACACATATACTTATATGAACGAAAAGTTTCGAAAGTTTTTATATCGAAATACCGCGTACGTTAAACAGCGACACAACCAACTAGTTTAGCGTTTGACACTGAACTGGTGAGTGAGTGGTGTGGAATTTCACTCGTTTTATTAAGTTCACTAGTTCACTACGGACGAGATATGACAGTGACAATTGACTATTCGTTCATTCACGCCTCCAATCACTCGTGCATCGTATTAATATTTAATAACCGGTTTTGATTAATTCAATTAAATTCAAAGGTTTATCTTAATACTAAAACTACATTTCAAGTAGTAAAAATAAATAAATTAATTAAGACCGTTGTTTTTTTGGGCACATTAGTTGACTAACATAATTTAAATGAAACACTTTAACGGTTTAAAACGCAATATGTTAGTTAAAGTTATTTAAAATGATGATTTTTAACTTCGGCCCGACGTTTCGGATGCTTTGCAGCAGCCGCGGTCACGGGGATCATTTTCAAATAAGTTTAATTAATATATCGCGTTTTAAACCGTTAAAGTGTTTTATTTAAATGTGTACTACTCGCGTAAACTATACACAGTATTTGACTAACATAACACAACTGGTCAACGATCTGTTATCTAAGAATTAAATATCGTTTACGTTTTCTTTTCATTTAACGAAACAATTTTGATGTTTCTGCGGCATTTGATCCAGCAACTGGCGAAACGATGACAAGATCTACTCCTTATTTCTGATATAGTACCTACTAGTTTTAAAGGCCTCTCACAGTTATTTTTAGACATTAATTTAGAGACAGTTCTGTCGTCCATGCGTAATAGGAGGAAAAAACATCGCTGGGTTTTACGCGGGATATCAAATGTCACGTGTTTGGTGGATATATAAAAACAGTAAAACTGTAAAACAAGTGGCTCTTACTTTTTTGTACTCTTAGTTGTATATCTTTATTAAAAAAGTATCTTTTACAACGTGTAAGAGATAAAAAAGATCAGAATATCCAAAGTCAAAATAGGCCGACAGGCATCTTGTGTAGATCTTGCATATATGTGGGGTATATTTTCCTCCCATCAGCTCGATTTTGTCTTCCTCTATATTTAAAAAATAGTTAATATTTTAACCTGAGACACTAAAAAGAAAGTGTGTATATAAAAGAAATATATATATTTATAATGTATATAGTAAATAATTTAACTAGTATATTTTATATGAGGTATGAATAAAACACGGAAGACATATATTTTAGTGTTATAATTTTGTACAAATAACGGCGTATAATACATCGGACAGGTTCACATACAAAACTAAGTCTACAAAGCTATGTTAGTTCTACTTGCCTGGTAGCATCACATTGGTGCAAATTACATAGAAAAAATTCATTCAAACTTCAAGACTGTCTAATAAAAAAAAACCTTCATTGCTTCGTAGTGAAAAAAAACAAAGTAAATTAATCGTATTGTAAATATGCTACCAATGCAACGCAAGCTTTTAGGCGTCACTGAGATTCAAACAAACAAACATAGCCAATAAAAAATTTAATTAAAACTTTGCCTTTTGCTAAATACATCTAGTAAAAAAGTGTTAAATTATTGTGAAGTGGAGAAAAATCTCAACAACGCCCTGGTAATGATAACCACTGTTATTAATAGTAACTTATAACACTCAAAACATCTATAAATAAATATACATATTATAATTTGTATGAGATCATATTTTTCATATATAGTATTAAACAAACGGACTAGTTTCATATTTGGTTAAGTGGTACATTAGTATAACATAATAATTATATTATATTTATGAACAACATTCAAGTAGGTACAATAAAATTAAAAGTATTCATTTTGGTCGATTTCATTTAATAAATGAATATGTCATTTATATTAGGAATGTTTTAATTCATTGGCTCAGCATAAATATTGAAATGCAACGAATTAGGTGAAAAAGATATGTTTTATAGAAATTATGTTTAACCCTGTGGAATTATTAATTGACGAACTCATGGGTGTTAACTTCCCAAAAGGGAATTAGGAGGTGCGTACACTCTCTAGTACAAAGCTATGCAAAATATTTTATCGAATCCATAAGACTTCAATGTCCAAATCTTGTATGCCAATTAAGGGAATTTCAATGCTGTCATAATTAGTTCGAGGTACAGAAGCTAAGCAAACGCAATAAAAGCTACGCTTAATATAAAAGCTCAGTAATACCAAACTCTATTTATTTACTACTTATATACTTCTAAAACACGTCCATATGCAAAATTCGATACAAACGCTATTACGTGTTACATACTAGTCATATATATGCGCGTGCAAATTCAGGTGACGTCACAGTTATGTTGTCTCGCTCTGACAATGTAAAATGCGCTACGCCAAAGCGGGACGGAAACATCAACTGAATTCCCACGTTACTCTCATAACAAATTGTGATCTATCCATTGAAACTATATTTTGTTAACTGAAAACGCGTGCAAATCACTTGTACGACTAGAATTTATTTATTAACATTACAAATAGGTTTTTTCATATCTACTAGATAGTAAAGCACTTCGAAAAGTTTTAGATTTTACTTAAAAAGAACAAGGGTTAAGTCACATTACGTTGATTGAATTAAATAGGCAAATCAACGATTTCTCTATCAATTTCAATCAAGATATGGTAAAGAAGGACACAGTTTATCTAAATTGACTAAATTGGACACAGTTCAAAATATAATTACGGAATATTGCCGATGTTAGATCATTGATATGTTATTACAGAGCCATGTGGGGAACTCCGCTTAAATTAAGTGAACATAAATTAATTTACATCATTTAAATGCAATGTGTTATGGGGTACATCGGCCGACATTATTAGTTATAGTATGGGGCAGTTTTGACAGTGTTAAGGGAATGTCAAAGTCCCCGCTCAACGATATTTGGGAGACACATCCCACTAGACCGCTCTTGTACCTTCCGTTTGTGTTGATGTCTATGGACGGGAGGCCACCTGGAACAATTGTATTGTTAGAATATAATCTTTTAAAATTACTGATGTAATTATCATGGGTCTATATTATAAAGTTAAAAGTATGTATTAAAATAGAGCGTTACATACGTAAATAAAACACATTTAACACTTTAAAACACGAAATGTATAAGTTAAGTTGTTTTCTCTTTGTTATTGGAGGGTGTGTGCTTTGTCATAGATTTTACGACGAAACAGATGTCGCAAGCGTAGCAGATTTGACTTTGACATAAGGAACTCCCCCCCTCTCTTGAGACCCCCCGTTACCACGGATGATACATCGTATCAAAAACGTCGGCCGTCGTTTTTACACTTACCTATGTATAAGCCATTCTCTGTGTTCAGTTGTTTTAATTTTCCGGGGGATATTTTACCGACAGATCCTAAACCGTCCACTTCTAGGACACCCGCTTGTCTGTTTCTGGAATAAAAACTTTAAACATTAATTCTAAGCGTCTAAGTAACTTATTATGGATTTCCGGAGAAACAAGATACATTTGACGGCCTGTAGTTGTTTAATTATGTTGAGATATAAAACAAAAGAGAAATCAGAAAATTTGAAACCTCAGTTCCATATACAACATGGCAAAGCCCAAAAAACACCTATTACATTTAACACAAATATAGTAATCGTTATTCGTCATTACTGTAAGGTTAACTGTTAATAAAACATCAAATATATGTTCTTGAAATTGGGAAAACCTTTGAGTTTGAGTTGTAAGCTGTCTATTGCATTCTTTATAAGTAGACATATAAGCGTACCTTGTCGCTCTCGCTCTGTGCCACAAACCATCGTCCACTTTGGTATGATTAGCTATAATTACTACTTCACCACTTCCCAAATCGTATCTGAAAATAATTCATAGTTAATTTAAATAAAACACTTTAACGGTTTAAAACGCGATATATTAGTTAAACTCATTTGGAAATGATTTTTAACTTCGGCCCGACGTTTCGGATGCTTTGCAGTAGTCGTGGTCACGGAGAGACTAAAGTATAATTCATAGTTTTAAGTACGCAAAATAATGTATTTGTGTAATAATGTAAATAATGTACATATTTGTTAACTTTTTTGTCTGTAAATAGGGCCGGTATTTAAGGGTCTTTAACGCTCGGGGCCATAAAGAGCCTCTTTCGGGCCCGGGCCCCTTATAGTCCCAATTGCCCTTCCCTAAAACCGACCAGCCAGGTTCAGTTTAGGATAGGGCGACTGGAATAATAAAGAAACAAAAAAGTCATAAGCATACTCGCTGAACGGATGTTTCAGTAACTATGCACGTTCGGGGTCGTAGGTTTGTAGTTAAACAGTAATTAGTTAATATTGTTCGCGTACAAACCGTTAAAATTTGCTAAGTTAACGTAAATAAAACTTATTTATTTCATTCCAATAAAATGTCACTAGACATGGATGTATTGACAGTTAAGTAGAATGTAAGTGTCCAAAGCTTACCTAAATACAAGTACAGAATTTTCGACAGCTAGGGAAAGAAAGTCCGCCGTCGGTGCTAGCGGCGCTCTACCGCTCCAGACAAGTAAACCGTTCGCCGATATAGAACGGAAGCGAATATTGATATCCAACGTGTAGCTTAGTAAACTGGAAAAGGAATGACGAATTATTTTAAAACTTAAAAAAAAATATTTAAATTAAAGTTTGATGTCTTAAAGAGTCTAAGGTTTTAGAAAGCGGAATCTGTGCGTGGGTGAAACAGATAAAAATGGGGTTCTTTTATTAAACACCCTGGCCATATTACGTCACAACAAGATGAGCTGTTAACGTATTATGTTGTTATAGGTCAACAGCACATCAGCAACGGTTGGCTTTTCTCTGGACATTCGAAAACCCACAGCCTAAAACCGAAACGCCCTTAAACTTCACTGCTTTTTCATTTGTGTACCATAGTCTGTGACCCGGACAGAATTTTGATATTCCTACCACCCATTTAATGTCCATATTTTCAGAAAAGTCCAACATCATTCAGAAATTGGTTAGAAGCAAGTTCTACCATTACACCAAAATCCCCCCCCCCCATCCCCAAACTATCATTGCTGTATTCTTTTACATATAAATGATGGGTACATGAAGTTTTTTTTTATCTAAGGTATTTGTTATTAATAATTCTGTGCTCATATTTTAGTCACTACTATTGAATCCTAACATGAGCCTGACAAAATAAGATGCTACTTAAATTGAGCAAAAACTTACCGCTTCATCGTCTCTTCATCGTCGATATGAATAAAGCTGTCAGTTCCCGTAAAACTGGGATAGGTATTAGTATCCCCCCAATTAATTTCGTTACTACTCAAATATTTCACTTGCATGTACGTCTGTCCGTCGTACACCGGGCCCTCGGTCATAATTTCGTTACTCCTACTGGATATGTGTTTTTTACCCGATGTAAACCCTTTTCTTTTGTATTTCTCCATATGAGAATTGTGGTTGCGCTTTTTGGGTTTCGCTTTGTGGTATTTGAGTTTGAAACCCTTTTTTGGGACTATCGAATGGTGAACTTCGTTTTCCGTTTCATTCTTTGCGTATAATTCTTCAACGTTTTCTCTGCATAGGTTGTCGCTGAAATTAAAATTATTATTATGTGTAAGTAATTTTTGCCGAAAAGCATTACAAACGTTACATTATTATTTATCCCCGTGTCATCTGTGGCAACAACTTAACTCTATAAAAGATCTTCACTAGTTCTCTATGGTTTGGAATCGGCCATACTTATTGTGGTCTTTTGCCAAGTAAGAAAAAATACACTATACATTCCGTGTTAAAAATTAACATATTTAGAAGTTACTTTCCCTCAGTAGCTTATAAGCTAGCGTCCAAATATTTTAGCACATTGTTCTTTCTCTTCTTTCCCATCATCAAGCGTAGTTTATTAGTAGCAGTAATTGAAAATATTTTTGAGTTTACGTACTTGCAAGAGTTATTTCTGGGTTCGTCGCAGTTGTCAACATTCACGCCTCCCAAAGCCGATGAAACTACAGATAGTTCTTCATCATTTATTATCAACTGGAATTACATAAAAAATTTTCATTAAATATATAATAATGATAAACTTTGTATACGTTTAGTTCTAAATACAGAGTACATAAGCTAAAATGCAACTTGACCTTTATATGACTACATAATTTAAAAACGCAATTTATCTCATGGATATCAGTGTCGGTTTTAAATATTTCAAGTATAATTTCCAATCTTAAAACTTGCTTATGTTTAAAAACTTGTTCATATGTTATTGCTCATGATGGCATATATAAATTAGAAATCTATTTAGGATTTATTTATTAACAGAAATACTTACAGCTAAAAGTACATTTTTTCTTATAATTAAGCAAATAATTACGCTAATTACAAGCATTTACAAATAATAAATTAATAAGATTACCCAAGTGACAAGGTTTTATATTATAGGTGCATAAAACAAGAAAGAATTGACGTATCCAGGGACGGGGTGTGTTTTTTGTATGTATGTGTAAGTGTAAGTGAATGTGAGTAATGTTATTGTTTTTTAAAGGTGTTAATTAGGGCTTTTTTAAAGACGGGGCGTGAAAGATTAAAAATATCTATGCATGAAATTTTTTGAACTTGAAAGAAAATATTACGAAATATGTTCGGGCAGTCAAGTTTATTATGGAGAATGTCGTAAAAAATCATCATGTCTGTTATATCTCTTCTGTCTTCTAGAGTTTTAATATTATGATGTGCACACGCTTTGTTATAATTGTTAGGTTTGTATTGAGTTAAAAAATTTAGCTTCTTTATAAATAGTTTTTGAACTTTTTCCAAACTGTTTTTGTGACAAAGGTAGGTTAAGAAAAGGAAAAGAAAATTGACGGCTCGAACCGGCATTCAGTACTACTTTAGACCACTGATACGGCGGCTGAATTAGTTAGAGCTGGTAATTTAACTTATTAGTACTTTGGTTTGACATGCATTTCCTTACTTGTCCAACACAACCACTAAAGGAAGTCTTCAGCGCCAATCTCGGGGGCAACGGTTGAGGCGCGCCGCCCAGCATCATCGGTTGCCGTAGCTCTAAGTACTTGGCGATCCCGCGCGATGTCACAGACCGCGACGCGTCGTGTGTCGTGTCGGTGTCGTATCGGACGCGTAGGGAGGCGTGACGACCCGATCGGTTCACTGATATTCTATGCCATTCGTTTTGTTTTAGGGGGTAGGCAGATCTATAATATTAGAAAAATATTTTCTTATTATATTATATATATCAACAGCTATAAATAATGCATTTTTCTTTTTAATAATACCCTACAATCATTATTATTAAAAAAGACAATTTAATCACCTGACAAGAGCGATCCCAGAGCCTAAATCGAAAGCGAACTCCACGAAATATTCCCTTAGATGCAGCGAAAAGAAATCCCCATCACCACTCTGGTCTTCGGCGTCATACAACAGCAGCCCATCACCATTCGTAGGTTTCACTGTTATCTGAAAATTAAAATATGCATTTTGTTAAATTATTTCCATAGTCTGTTAGAGGATATTTAACGTTTTAGGTTTCTGAAGTTCTTTGTGCGGTAGAAGTCTAGAAATTCAAATAACGCAAACAATAATACATTTTTAGGATAGAGGAAGTTAGACAAGTATGAGGTTCATTCGGTTGACGGTATACCCCAGCCACCTAACATCTAAGCAAGATGCGAGGTTGACTTATTTTTTACTTAGATAATCGAAAATCCCCAGACTGAAACCTCACGCCCTTTTTATCTGTCTTACGATTCGGGACGGAATTTTGAGTCTAGTGCTGCTGTTCTACCGCTGAAATGATCGCTGCGTTGCGTATACGGCGGTTGGTAAAGCACAGGGCTATCAATTTATCTCATTCATGTTCTAGTTTATAAGTTTCTTTTTAATTTGATTTTTGAAAAGAGTTTTGTAAAGCCTTACAAAATGCATCCTTTATTAAAATACAAAATAAACACGAAGCAAACTTCTACAAACTCGCACACTTAATTCGTATACAGTTTGAAAGGAAAACAGAAATGTTCAAAGTTCGATTCGTGCGACACAAACGCTAAGTTCAATACTAAAACTTGGAACTACGGTGCAACTTGAAACTCTTTCGTAATTAAAATTGCGCTATGCTAAAGTTTAAGTACTTATACTTTGTTATATGGCACTCAATACAAGTGCTGTATCGATTTAATTCTTGTCTGGAAAACTGGACGTTACGTTTCGTATAATCTGTGGTATTTTAAAAGCTAAGAATGCACTTAACAAATTTAATATATCAAAGTAACATTGCAATCTCAGGATTCGAACTGGAGTCGAACTCCTTGGTCTAATAGCTAATAATCAACGAGTCGTGGGTTTTATCCCAATTGGTCCGACATGTTTCTAATAGATTTATATTATTTCTGACATGTATAACTTCGTTTAAATAAAACACTTTAACGGTTTAAAACGCGATATATTAGTTAAACTTATTTGAAAATGATTTTTAACTTCGGCGCGACGTTTCGGATGTTTTGCAGCAGCCGTGGTCACGGGGAGACGAAGTTAAAAATCATTTTCAAATAAGTTTAACTAATATATCGCGTTTTAAACCGTTAAAGTGTTTTATTCAAATGTGTACTACTCGCGTAAACTATAGACAGTATGTATAACTTCGTCTGAAAACCTGGATTTTACTAACTACTAACTACCTGTCAAAGAAAGCCACGAAGTTTGATTGCAGTTCGATTTCAATCTTTCTAATATCCAAAGCCAAATTAGTTTGACAGCGCATTATACTTGAATGTTATGTGGCTGGGGTATTTCCCATCGCTATGCCTGTCTGTACTCCTCTTTCATAAAATAAATCTCCTGAATTACAGTCAACTGCACTAACCATTACCCTATTATGGATTATAATTAATAATGTTACAATTAACTAGTCTAAATGTTAAGATAATTTCTCTCGTATAGCCTAGTTTCAGACTAAGCCATCTAAATGCTAACTGTATATGTTTAACTAGCTGTGTCAGTGACTTCATCCGCGTAGAATAGTTATTTTGTGTTTTTGCAGACCTCCTCTTCATCTTTATAAATCTTAAACTGTTATCCACCATGTCGGTCGCGTTCCGTAGTTCTTGCAAGTTAATCTTAAAAGATAGACATATTATAGTGTCGCCGACAATTTTTTGATCATTTAAAGAGGAATCATTTTTTCTTTCGTATTCGTACCGCACGCAGTGTACACTCTCAAAGACGAATAATTTTCACAATTGCTTTGTACATTATCCGCTATTTCTTCTCTCCTATTGATCACAGCGCGATGTCAAATAGCCTTAAGCCTTCCTCCATGAGACTAAAGATCTAACCAACACAAAATCAATTCGAACCAGTAGTTCCTGAGATTAGCGCCTTCAAACAAACAAACACTTCAGCTTCACAAGTAAATATAGATGACGCAAATTAACTCTTATCGTAAGACAATTTCTCGTGTATAGCCTAGTTCCAGATTAATCCATCTAAATGCCCGACACGTATATGTTTAATACTAATTGCAAAGCATATAATACCTGTATATCTAGCCACGACTGCGCCGAATTACCCAAGCCAGGCAACCGCAGGTAGGAGGAACCGTTGAACCTAGGCACCTGCAAATTATAGTACAAATGTTAGTCGGGATCTGTTTAATTAATGACTAGCATATTATTCGCTGAAATTAACTTGTGTTTTATACTTGCGGGTTTGCACACGTAAGCTTGTTACGATTTGTAACTCCTGGGATAGAAAACCGCATTAAGTCTTAAATATATGCATAAGTGGTGCATTATAGTGTGTTGTGGTGCGATGCCTATATATAAATAAAGTATAGCTATACAACGAAACAACGTGGAGCTTTTAAGAAATATTGAGGAGAAGGTAAAAAAAGAAAGAAAGAGAATTTCCTCAAATTTTCCGTTGCGACATGTCCTATCTTTACTTCAATATTATTGATGTTTGTTGTTGAAATTATAACGCCTAAACTATAGATGTGTATGGCCAACGTATGAAAATAAGATAATACATAAAAAGTACTAGTCTAGGAGTACGTTTAAGTAACGACACCAAATAGAACTCCGGACCTGGAACTTTTAAATAAAACACTTTAACAGTTTATATATATTAAACTAGTTTGAAAATTTTGACTACGGCCTGACGTTTCTAATGCTTTGAAACAGTGGTGGTCACGGCTACCGCAAACAAGTTAAACTGTTAAAGTGTTTTATTTAAATGTGTACAAATCGGGTAAACTAGGGACAGTATTTGGACCAGAGGCTACTAGACCAGAACCTTGATTTAGTGCTGCAGAATGACTCCAAACCGGGAAAGAAAGAGATGAAGAGAAGGAAGATAAGAGACAAAAGTTCTACTCTTCCTACGGAGAAGAAGAAAACGTTGAAGAGGTCATTAAATGTATTCCGGAATAAAAGTAACTGGCATTGTTCCTAATAGCCAAAAAGCACATAATTGGCCCAACTCTTGAGACTTATTACGGGCTACAAGTTTGTGATGAATACTCTAAAAGTTATAATAGCCTCCGCGATATGTTGACTTTGCAAATTACTGCCTTCGAGTTAATGACTTTGAAACGAGAAAAGTGCACTCGAGATGTTTTGTGAAGCTTTATAATTACATTAATGTTATTGTAATTAGGTAGTGGGGACGTTGTTTTACCTAGAATTAATGTTGTTTTACAAGATATAGGTTATTAAAAATCGAAAATAAATTGAAAAACGACTCTGGCAGAATTTGAAGTGGGATTATCAGCGTTCCGTGCTGTTGCTCTAACCGATTGACAACAGGACTCGGTAGCTCAATTGGTTTGTGAAAAATAATAAGTATTCAAAAATAAAGGAAGCAAAACTCTTTTTAAAGATCAAAATGTTAATCTTATTGATGATAAAAGAGGTTAGACAGGACATTGGATGAATCAGCCATTTAACAGCTACTCAACATGTATTTTCTTGATTTGTTTTGTCTTTAGACATGCGTAGTCGTATACAAATAATCGAAATACAAAGACTGGAACCGAAAAATGTGTTTTCCTTTTTACGGTTTTGATTAGGGAGTGTGCCTAATTTGGTTCGCTGGCCAAATAAGTCTTAGCAGATGACAAAGTCGCTATTGCCATATACGTGCCGGTTTGCTCAACATGTTTCCCTTTAGGAAAAAGTAGGTGTCAAGGATATACGTACAAGGTCTCAAGATTAAGACGAAAATAACAATGTTATATCTATACTAATAGGTAAAGCTGAAGTGTTTGTTTGTTTCTTTGAACGCGCTAATCTCAGGAACAACTGGTTCGAATTGAACTTTGTGTTGCTTTTGAATTGCTTTTTGTGTTGATTAGAACATTTATTGAGAGAGAGAGGCTATAGGTTATAAAACATAGAGCTGTGACTAATAATAGCGAAGAAACGGCGGGAAATGTCTAAAATACTGAAAAAATCATTAATCCTTGAGGGTTTCCATTGCGTACGCTGCGAAAACGGTTCGAGATACCCAAGAAATATATAATATATATTTTGGTTTTATAAAAATAAATAGGAGGGAATGATTTCTATTTAAATTATCTAAAAAAAGTCCGCGACAGTATATATATATATATATCTGTTAAGATTAACTTGCAAAAATGACGGGACGCAGACGCAACGTGGTGGGTAATAGCTTAAAGCTAAATTAAAAATTGATACCCATAATAACTATTCTACGCGTACAAAGTCGCTGACTCAGCTAGTAAGATGTAAATAAGAAAAATTATAAAGAATTAGTTTGTAGAGATACCAGACACTTTCATTGTTATCGCTTTAAAAGTACAAAGAATCTTATCACCCTATTTTGACCCGTAAATAATGAACGGTGTTACACATCTTATCTTGAGAGAATTCACGCTGAAAAATTCTCTGAAATTCTTTTCTCTCGACAATTTTCCACTGAAAGGAAAAGTTCTCGACGTCATAAGTACTCAGTATTGTTTGCAGAACGTAAAATAATATGCTATTAAAATGACGAAGAACGTATTTTCTCCTTTATAAATGTATCTGAGACAATGGCGTAATTAGTTTAACGGCGAGATGTTATTATGAAAGGCATTAGCCATTTGTAATTCTCGTTTTCCGAGTGTTTTAAATTCTATATCATTCTTCTTCTTATATCCTCAATAAATTAAATGCCTGTATCTCGAAATATGTTATCCTCTCCCGTGACCATGAATGGTATAGAGCATCAATATCAGACCGTCGAATAAATAAATAACTAATATTTTTTGCGTTTTATACCGTTACTTTTGTTTTATATGAGTAGACTTTATATCTTTGGCCGTTTCGTTCTACGTAGGAAGGAAAAATATGGACTATTTTTTAAATATAAATTTTGATACAAGTTAAACGAACTCTCTCAAATTAAATCTAGTAAATCTTCACGGTCGCCTTAACACACTTTGATAGAAGTCAGAGGAACACTTGAAGGTTCTCAAAGGCAGAGTAAATATGAACAACGTGGGGAGCTTTCTTGGTCTAACTTGAAGTCTGGAATGTGTTTCTCGTGAGTTAAAATCATTTATAGCATGCATACCACCAAATCAAACCACAAATAATTCACTTTTTTTTAAAGCATTTGAGAAGATCAGGCACTTAAGTAAAAATCTCAAACAAAATAAAACTATGTATAGTTCTTAAGATGTGATAATAACTATGTATGGCCACGACTTTGTGATAGAATAATTATTTTGGGTATCATAATCTGTTTTTGCAAACCTCCCCCTTGTCAATGTTGTATTGTTGTCCCGTTAATTTTAAAAAAGAAAAAGAGGAATCAAAAATCACACCTACTTTTTAGCCCATTGTAAGGAAATCCAAAAATTAATGTTACTTTTTTTTCACATTTCCCCCTATTGATCGGATTCTGGCTGTTTTATAGCCTTTTTTAGATAAATACTCTAACCAACACTAAAATAATTTTTCACTTCAAACAATCACAGAAGTTCCTGAGATTAGTGCCATTAAATAAACAAACTCTTTAGCTTTATAGTATTAGTAAAGATATGCAGTGCCAACGAAAAAAACCTTGTTTTCGTGATAACGTATTTTTTTCAAGCTAGACAGATATAAAAACTAAAGTATTACCTTCAAATCAAGTGTAATCTCGCATTTATCACCAGCATATCCCAAAGGACATAGACAACTTCTCCCCACACAACCGCCGCCATGTTGACAGTCACAATAATCTTCTCTCATCATCCTCATCGCATCACCTTTCAAATCATTATAAGTATCATCAACAAACTTCGTATCCCGTTTATCATTAACGAATTTGATATTTTTGATTTCATTGTATTTCATCACGAAATTGTCCATTTTGTTTTGGTCCTTCGAGTCGCGCATCACGATGTCGTTGTCTTCGAAGTTGACTATGTCGTTTATGTCGTAGATCGCGTGGTCCAACTCGTTGTGTCGGTGTGGTATTATTTCGCTTGTGACTTCATTTATTGGTCGCCACGGAGCCAGTGTCGGAGCACATTCACCTGAAATAAATTGTCAGCTGTCAAATTTTCAAATGTTTTAAATAATAACTTCAGAAGTAAGATGACTTTCTTAAGTCAGAGGCTATTTCATCGAATGAGACGATAAGGGATATAAGGAACGAAAGTAAGGCCAAAAGTTAGCTTTTATTAGTATTGATTTTATTTATTATTTATTAGTAATACCTTAATCATATGATAAACTAGCTATGCGTTCCGTCGTTTGGCGAATTAATCTTAAACGATAGACTTGTACTGTGGCGGACACTTACTTAGATAATTTAAAGAAGAATCATTCTTTCATACATATTTTTTGGTTTTTTGAACCGTTTTCACAGCGCATGCAACGAAAGCTCTAGAGCCTTTCTCGATAAATGGTCCAAGCAACACATTACTTTCACGGTACTTAAAAGAATAAAGAGGGGCTGTTTATATTCTTTCAAATAATTATTATTAAGGCTTTGTTTCAGTAAAATTAAAAACATTTTAAAATGAAATGTGCGCGCAAAGCTAGCCTCTATTCTACATTACCAAGATTTGATAAAATAGAGGAGATGAAAACTGCCATTTGTATCACTTAACGTTAAAACGCGTGACGGAGGAATTAAAAAATATATATATATATATATATATCGGTTATTTTTTATGATTAAAGTTGTTTAATAAATATACCCTTATTAAACAAACCAATTAAATAAAATATGTTATTATTTAAGGTTTTATTGTTACAGCATAAAACTAGCTAGCGTGAAATAAAAATCATATTGTTGAATTAATTAATTATTGTTTTATAATTGGTTAATGAATATGCAAAGACAAAAATAGGTCAACCGCGTATCTTGCTTAAATGTGAGTGAAGAGGAGAACAGAAAAGTATGATGTACTTTTCTGTTCTCCTCTATCATATAAAATAGAATAATGAATAGTCTTTTAAAAAAAAGCTTTTCCCAATGAAACAGCGGTCAGAGGTCGTAATGAAGTGATTAACGTTTTAACGAAGGAATTCTTTTTCGACTAGAGCATAGACACTATCACTTGAACTAGGAGATTAATGAAGTCTCGAAAGTTTAAGATTAAAACTTACTTTTCTTCAGTATAAGGTGGAGCTGCGAGCTCATTATATATTTTTGTTAAAGGTAAGTTCGGATATTTATTTTATCCCAACCTATATAGAAATATAATAATTACGTAGTAGATAAATAACATATAATATAACGTATAATAACGTAATTTGGACACATTGGTTGAAAGGTAGCAATGTATGGCTAATATTCAGCGGTTCGTGGGTACGATCCCCTCAGGATCCAAGGATTTTGAATTTTGACTTTGAATATCCAAAGTCAAAATAGGTCGACAGGAAATTTTGTTTAGAATCTTTTCCGTTCGGAATATTAATATGGATGAGGTATTCTACCATCAAGAGGACTACATACTTGTCTGTCCTCCTCTATGATAAAAAATATGCAAAACTGGCAATACATTTTTTTCAATTCGAATTTAATATATCCTAACCGTTCTCTGTGTTTAAATATCTTAAAGGTCAGGGACTACCTTAAAGAACAAAAATGTTATCTCGTGAACATAATAAATAACTTATCCAAGACAATATTATCTGTAACTTCAGACGTTACCAAGAATTTGAAGCTTAAAACACAAAGTTCAGGTTAATTAGTAATTGAGATAAGACTCGTAAAGGAAAAGCAATTTTTAGTAATTCGTAACCAGATAGGCTTGTAAGGCGTAGCTTAATTAATTTTGCGCATCGTCAGCGTATTCCACACGCGTTCAACTAATGACAGAAAAGAATGATGTAGGTGTGTGGTGTAAGTTACAGGATTTATAGAACCGTTGCATATTTAGGAAGGAATGCATGGCTAATAATTATGGGGTCGTAGGTTTGATATCCACCAGGCCCAATAGGCCTAAACAATTTACAAATTTCCTAAAAGAGATATTAAATGGATGAGAGAAACACTTCGTCCTGTTTACGACCATCGAGACCACAGATGATAAATTCGTTCGTTCGCGTTTTAGTTTTAGTCTACTGTTGCTCTGCTAATTGAATCATGATGCTACAGAGTACTGTCCATCTTTTCGTGCTTACTCTGTGGAGTTTATTAAACTGAGGTTAAAATGCAATCACGTGCAAGATTGTCTTTAAGCGTTTGTTTTAAAGATGTTACAAAATATTTCCGTAGCACGTATATTTATTATTTCGCGAAAACTTATGACTTGCCCCAAGTAGTGTGAAGTGTTTAAATCAAAGGACGTGTAGGGAGCAGGGCGCTCGTAAATAACGCTGCTACGTCCGGAATATTAAAATTGGAGGCTGCGTCACTTTGCCTAACTCAAGAACATAAAAAGGGACGGTATTCTAGTCCATGGCGAAATAAAACAATATCTAATATAACATAACACTAGATAAAGCTGAAGTGAGTCTTTAAAGTTTCAAGTTGCTTTTTAGTTGAACAGACATCGATAGCGGTCCGTGCTGTTGTTCTCACCAATTGTTTAACTCATTTAGTTTTGTTTTATTAATAAATAACGAAGTTGCAACATTATTTTTCGTGTATCTTTAAAAATATAAAAATGTGTGCTTCCAAAAGTTTCTTGCTAAATTGTTATTTAGTTCGAGAAGCGTTTTGGTATGTTTAAACTATTAATGTTTCTTAATAATATAGAATTGTACTAGTTTTTCTAAGAGTTGCTTTTATTTATGTTCACAAAAGGTGTTGGACGGATTTTGAATCAAGGACCTCTCGCACTTAACGAGCTAGGCATTACGTTAAACCATTGATCGTCTGAGCCCCTCACATTCATTCGTATTAACAAACGTTTTTCGAAAACAATAAACTACATCCACCACTCCATTATTCGAATATAGGGCAACCGCTTCTATCCCTAAAATCGCCTCAATCTATCACTCTCTTATAGAAAATGGTCGATTTCCGATAGAAATTGTCGGTTCCTCGCAGCGGGCTTATGTATTTCCCAGTATCTATTTTACTTTGACGACTCACGGACAAATTCTATTGGTATATTGTGGTTGAGATGATTGAATGTTCTCTAACTTCGTTCGGATTTACTTCAGATTCATACGATTGTATTACATGTTTTGTCATTTCTCGAATTCGTTTCTAATCGTTTTCGATAAAGATAGTACTAATAGATTGTGGTAGAGAGGTATTTATGTGTTGCCATAGCTTATCATCATCATTGTCAGGCCGTTTGGGCCCACTGCTGGACGTAAGCCTGTCCAAAAGCATGCCACACAGCCCTATCTTGAGCTTTATTTATCCACTCCCAGCCAGCTCCTTTTTTCAGGCCATCAGTGCACTGCTCGTCGTCCTATACTGCGTTTGCCTACTCGTGGTCTCCAATCTAGTATATCTTCTTTGCTGTAGACATGGCCAGCCCAATATTTGTACTTATAATTTCTTAAGCCTTTTGTTCTTTGGCGGATGACTTCGTTCCGAGCTTTGTCCGCAAGAGAGAATGTTGCTTCGTTAGAAATGAATGATGCCGTTTTATTATTTCCGCATTCTGTGATAAACGGATTGTGGAAGTAGTCAATTATGAAAAGTCATCGAAGATTTACATAATATTGGTCAGATCGTTTTTTATTAATGTAATATTGTAATTTATCTTATTTTATGCAGAATATAAAGTTAATATTAAACAAACATAACGTTTAAATAAAACACTTTAACGGTTTAAAACGCGATATATTAGTTAAACTTATTTGAAAATGATTTTTAACCTCGGCCCGACGTTTCGGTTGCTTTGCAGCAGCCGTGGTCACGGGGAGACATTTTCAAATAAGTTTAACTAATATATCGCGTTTTAAACCGTTAAAGTGTTTTATTTAAATGTGTACTACTCGCGTTAACTATAGACAGTATTTAAACATAACGTTGGTAAGTTCTAGATTAACACAAAATGCAAATTAGAATACATTACAACAATGTATTAAAATTTTTGTTTAGTAGTTTACGGATTGTATGTGGTTTTAAAGTACGTTAAGTTAATGTGCATTCATTCTTTCTTTTTTTAGATTATTCATAATCAATATATTCAACCATTACTATCTTTAGTATAACATATTGAAAACCTTTGAGTCATGTGGCCGATACTAAAGGAATGTTGGGAAAGTTTTGCGGTTGAACAATACGCGGAATATTGGATGGGGATATTACTTTGCTTAGTATCGGCTAGTCCAATATTGCCTGTGTACTAGTTTGACCTGATATCACTTGTACCGATATAAAGCGGGGCCTTATGTGTGGTCTTGCATAATACATATCTCATCCCGGAATACATAGATTAATCTATGTATAAAACGATATATGATGTATTTTAATCACAAAATAATAGAATATATGAATTACGGTAGAACTAAGCACATAGGGTTCAGGATTCGAATCTCGGAAAATCCGGAAAAAAAAAAGAATTGGTTTCTGTCGAATCAGCATGATACTTGACATTTTAAAATGTCTTCAAAACGTACCTTCGACCCGTTCATACGATACGCAATTTTACTTCTTTAGATTAACATAAAACTTTTTAAACGGTTAAAACGCTGATTATATTAGTTCAACGCATTTTAAATACACTACAATGTTTAACACGCTTTGCAGCAGCTGCGACCTCCTGTGACGTCAGAAATGTTTTATTTTACTAACTAATCGTGTAAACGCGAAAGTATTTTGATTTTGTAAGCAATTGGAACAACAAAGATAAATATAATAATGAGATTGTGTATGTTTGGTATGGATATAGTTTGGTCTGTCTGTAGTTTACGCGAGTAGTATACATAAAAAAACGGATTAAAACGCGATATATTTTAGTTAAACTTGTTTAAAAATTATTTTCAACTACGGCCCGACGTTTCGGATGTTATGCAGCAGCCGTGGTCACGTGGGCTCGTTTTAAGCCGTTAAAACGTTTTATTTAAAGATACTTGTAGAGTTTTTAACTCTATAAAGGACAGACACTTTAAAACTACATAGTAATAATAGTAACTTATTTGATGCCTGCGATGTTACCAATAAATAACATCGCAGGCATCAAATAAGAAATGGTTACGTCTACAAATAAAAATGAATTTAATATTCGACCTAGACGTTTGTTTAGCGTCTGGAGTTATTCATAAAATTACGCGATCCCCGAGGGAGAGAGGGCAAATAGGAATTTATGACTTTCGCTCTATTCTCGTTGAAATGTCTATATATGTATTTTTAACATTAATATCATAATGAGTATTTAACAAATAATTGCGTTAAATTATAATTTTTATGTTATAACGATGTTGCTTGTTCGGCCCGAGTTTATATCTAGTCTGTGGATTGATACCAATGGATGTTTTGCACTATTCAACAAATAATTTATGACAGTAGAAACTGAATTATGAAGAATTAGAGGTATTGTCTATAGTTTACGCTAATAGAACAAAAATTAATAAGATATTTTTAACTGGTTTAATGGTATTAGGGTAAACTGATTTATGACGAAGGAATAACTTTAATTTATATACTTCGCGTTTAAACCAGTTAAAAGTGTTTTATTTGAAAGAATATATAAATGTGAGATATCATGTTTCACCTCTGTGGTCCGTTTCACTGATAGATTCTATTCCGAAACTATTAATTGCTTTTCCAGGAGTTCAACCCAGGACTTCTCGTGCTTAACGCAACTAGGCAACCCGTTTTATCGTTGAGCAATAGAAGCGACCGAATTATGTTCGAAACGATTATCCTACACGACAATAAAATTACATTAATGTTCTCATGCATAATTAAAATCTTAGTTAAATGTAGTGGTGCTCCACGAAAGTGCTGATGTCATGTAAAAGTAGTGGCTTTACATAATTTAGCATAAAATTACAGGGCACAGTTTCATAGTTTAGAGAGAGGTTCATGAACTCGTCACGAGTGTACTTCGCTTTTCCCCGCGCTATCTCTGCCCCGTAAGAAGATTTTCACGTAGATTTTCTTTTAATGTACGTACAATACAGTTGTTTTTATACTATCAAAAAAAATTACATCTTTTAAAAGTGACTAATGTTTGAAAACTTTAATAGTTTACCATGTTCCACATGATGCCATTATATATATAAAAAATCTCTTTTAGATTGATTGAATCGACATCCATAGCGTTCCGTGCTGTTGTTCTAGCAAACGCGGTAGCTCGATCGGTTGTATTTTTCTTAGTATGTATGTATTTTTAATATTTTGTTTTATTACTCTTTAAAGTTTTATTATATAATAATATATAAAATAGACCGCCTCTGTAGCCAAATGGTTAAACGATTTGCATAGAATTGCGTTAAACGCAAAAATTGTTTCGGTCAGGCAGGGCACAGAAGTCTGATAAACTATTTGCCTGTTAAAGAATGGCTCAGGAAACAGACACGAAAATGTGTTCGCATCATGCCCCACGAGGTGGAAACGGGGTTTCACACAATATATTAATAAATATGTAAAGAATTCAGATAAATACTTTTATGGACAAAACAGTTATACGACTAAACTTTTGTTTTATTATTGACGTAACCGTAGTAACTCTGTCTATAGTTTACGCGAAAAGTACACATTTAAATAAAACACTTTAACGGTTTAAAACGCGATATATTAGTTAAACTTATTTGACTTAGTCTCCCCGTGACCACGGCTGCTGCAAAGCATCCGAAACGTCGGGCCGAAGTTAAAAATCATTTTTAAATAAGTTTAACTAATATATCGCGTTTTAAACCGTTCAAGTGTTTTATTTTAACATTACAGTAACTCTTCTAAATTGTTAAATATTATTATTATTAAGAGATCATAATTTTATACACAAAGTAATAGAAACAATTGAAATACGAAAATATTTTTTTAAACATCTTAACATATAATATATGGAAAGTTAAGTTGGAAGACAAAATATTTTATAATTAAGCACCCCTATTATTTCATAAACTTCTGCAGAGCGCTTTAATTACTGTTTTTAACATATTTTTCAGAAATACAGCTTGCTTTTTACATAATAAACCACAGTGCTGCAACTTATGTTACATTGTAGCATTTTAATGAGAGAAGTTGGAAAATGTGGATTACATTTCCGAATGTTTTATGCGCGCTAAAATTATGATAATTTTAATTCTGATCCTAACGTTTTTATGATTACTCCGGCACAAAACTAGATAGAGTGCTATTTATGAAAAGTACTTTGTCAATTCCGATTTAGTCAACTTATCTAATTATATAAAGCTTTATGACAGGAAGACAGCCTGAAACCGAAATAGAGATTTCCTTTGTGGACTGTCGTGACCCTGGACGGAATTTCGACATTTCATACACCCTATTCCAGTTTTCCAATCGCATTCTTGAACATGATTAAGAACAAAATGGCTTTGAAAAACATGGTCAGCGGTGGGAAGCGATTACAATTAGCCATACACTTCTTGAATAATAGAAAACTTTGCTAAACTAACGTTAGGTTAGTTTAGATTATTAGAATAAGTTTTATTGCCTCATAAGACCGCAAATTTTTAAATATTGGGAATCTCTAAAATTTAAATTTATTTCGAATCTATAAATATATAAAAAAGCTATCGGTTCAAATCTGCGATTGATAAACGATTTTCACTGTAGGTAATTATGTTCCTTTTTTAAAACCATGCTAATTTTGTTTTTATTTTAAAAGAGAAAAGCGACACTTAACTTCAAAAAATGTTTATTAAATACTGTCTGTAGTCTAAGCTACACCCTCCACGTCCCCGACTAGGCTGCTGCAAAGCATGCGAAACGTCGGGCCGTAGTCTATAATGTTCAAATAAGTTTAACTAATATAACGTATATTTTAATATAAATTAAAGATTTTAAATCTGTTTCTAATCCCGTAACATCAATCTAAGAGTATTTCTTAGAGTAATAATTTCGTCCAATTACTTAAACGCCCACGACTTTTAAGAGCGACATCGCCCCATCCCCAGGTGATATCGCAAACGGTTTCAAAGGAACATAGACTTTGAATGATTTAAATTCCTTCGCCTTTAAATTTTCCCAAGATGGAATAATTTTTAGAAAGTTTCCTTTGCTTGCTTGTAAATTTAATTCCTCGAGGGTTTAAAATATTCTTTGATGGATTGATTGGGTTATAAATGAAAAGTTACGGCTACGTGGGTGTTATAGAATTGGCATAGTGCAACGTAGAGAAGCCACAGACTATACTAACTGACCTGCCAACGTCTTTTTGCCACATGAAGTATTTCGAAATATGCAATTGGTATAAAATTGTTACTATTTATTTAATCTCACATTACACATCATTTGATATGATTTGAATATCACTTACTGATATCCAATGTGGAAACTGCATCTTTCACCAGTCTGTACGTGTCTCCGTTGATTCTAAGGAAGTCGACACAGCCTAGAAACCCTTCAGTTAGTCCTAATTTGGTCTGGAGACCTGTGGTGTTGCCAGCGCCGCCAACCCACACAGGCTCCCGGAATGTCATTCTTGAGAACAAGCCCTGTAAACAAGTATACATATATACATTTTCTTTATAATAGACAAGGTATTTTATAATACAATACGCATTTAGCCAATTTAATACATTATAATTGAAATCTAGACGGAAACGTAGATGAAAAGCGTAAGATAAAAGACAGATTAGTGTTATGTGGCTACTGCGTTGTAAAATATTGTCAGTTGTTACCGCGAGTAATACATGTTAAACAAAAACTTTTGTGATGTTTTAAAACGCAACGACGAAACAGATGGCGCTAACGCAACATTTGGCATTACGGACACCCTTCATCTTCAGTGTCCCTGCTGCAGAGCATTAGAAACTTCGTGCTTTAATTAAAAATAAGTTAACCAATATTGGTTGCGTTACCGTTAAAAGGGTTCATTTAAAAATTGCATTAATCTGTTACTAGCATACATTTAAAAATTATTTTTACATTAAAAAATCGATGACACGGGGAGACGTGAATACACGACCACAGCGTACCGTGATGTCGTTCTTACCAACACGACACGATAGTTCAGTTGTTTTCATTCAAAATAGTTTTTTTAACAAAGCTATCATGTAAAATAAGATTAATATTTCAAACCTAAATTCAGTCTCAAAATTAATCTTATTATTTCCTATGTACCTAATTATACATAGCTCAAGATATATATGAACACCAGCTTTCCCAATAACAAATTGACAGAAGAGAACACAACAGAGAAGTAATTCAAGTTGAAATCGTTTCGGTTCCAGAATCACGTTTCAGCAAAGTTAGGCAGCTATTTAACTCGACGCGAATTTTTATCTGAACTCTACGAATATAGAATGAGTTGTTTCACTCGTGAGAAATGTCGTTATTTCAATTTTAACAAGTTTTGAATTTCGTTATTCCCTAAAACGATTGAGGACCATTCAAAAGACTGGTATTCACTTACTAAAAGATAGAAGAGACAAAAGATCTCACGAAAACATCATATTTTTATATATTTATTGAAAGCATTCCCTTAAAACTTTGTTACGCATGTGACGTAGATATTTTTGTGTTTTTATATTAGGAAATATATAAAATAAATATTAGAAAGAACAAAATAAGTAATCAAATATTATTCTTTATTTTTCTTCTTTATTTATTTTTTACTTTTATACAATATTTATATATATTGTTATACAAATAAGTTTAACTAATAATGTGTTCAGTTCAGTAAAAGATACAGTAAGAAAATATTGTTATACCGTAGTTAGTATTTCCGTACTTTTTAAGTAAACATGAATAAAATGTTTGAAAATTTAAATATTTTACACATGTTATTGCACATGAAGGCACGTTATAATTGAAAATAAATTGAAAAAATTTTGACTTGACTTGAACCGGCATCGTCCAACAACAACAAAACAACTACACCGAACCGAAGTCCTGCCCGAGTCGATTTTTTTTTAAATTTATTTTCGATTTTTAAATTAATGTTTTTTGAGACCTCGCTGTAAAGTTAGATGACTAAGGCGTTCCTAAGTACACATACACCCCGGACAGGTATTAAATAAATATAAAAACCTGGGAAAAGTAATCATAAACTACGCAACGAAAGGACGCCGCAGGTCGGCGACTAGACGTCTTCATGAGCAATTTGAATACAAGAAAAGTTCAAAGCAAAGTGGAAAATACGGCCGCCGTGGTATTTCTGTTCAAACAAGACGTACGGTTTAATTAAAAAGGAGATGTATTACTATACTAATACCTAGAATTAATTAAGCGAGATCCCAGCGAGAGTTTTAAGAGGAAACTATATTGCGCTCCTTTGGGTTTTACGGTTTAATTTATAATAACTGGCGATGTGCTTCTGTTTTGTTTATGGCGGCACATTATCGCAAGTTACGAGTGAGAATAATTTCAGTTACGTCATTTGTAGGATGACAGGATAGGCAAGAACGCAGAATAGTTCTTCTGATTAACTGATAAAATAAGATAATTTTCAAAGGAAATATTAAATGATTAAAATGTTTGTTTGTGTATATTCAGTAGTTACTTAGTTTACGCTAGTAGTATACATTTACATAAAACAATTTTGACGGTTTAAAACGCGAAGTCTTAGTCAACTTATTCTTAATTAAATTTAAATACGGCCAACGTTTAGGATGTTTTGCAGTCGTGTTCACAGGGCACACTATATAAAAAGTAAGTAAAATAATATTTCGCGTTTAAATCGTTAAACGTGTTTTATTTCAATGTGTATTTGTGTTTATTATTAATTTTAATTGTGTTTTACGAATCTTGGTTACAACCAACATTTACACGAAAAATCTTTAGTTGTTTATCTATTTTTTTGAAAATCATTGTTCGTAGCAAGGACAAGAAATTTTTTAAACAAACCGTCTTAGCTACTTGTTAAACAAATATAATATTGAACTACAACAGCGAAATCGTTTTCCAATTCCACCGTTTAATAATGTTTGAAATTATGAACAAAATTAAACTGAGATTAATTAAAAAACATTTCAAGCAATTGAAACCTAACAAGCGTTAACGTCTTCGTTATTATGTCTGTAATTTTCAGCGCTGAAAACTTGTCGAGAGCAATTGAAATGACATTGCGGTAATTAGGTTGTGCCGATAAATCATTTATTAAACAAATCCAAAGATATTTGAGGTGATATTTGGAGATTAACACAAATTGTTAGTTTGCTGCTTTATAACTTGGCAGGATCGTTGGTACAATGGTAATGCAATAATAATTAAAGGGAGTGGGTTCGATTCCCAACGGGCCAATACGTTTCTGAAATCAATTTATACTTTTTCAAACATATCAGAACTGGAACGTCTGGACATTAAATAGATAGGTCAAAATCCCATCCGTGTCATCACTGTTCCAATGAAAAAGTCGTGTTCGCGTTTCGATTTCCGAATATCAAAGCCAAAAAGGTTGTTAGCTCACCTTGTTTAGAGAACCCAAATTTCACGTAAATTTGACACTTTTCTGTCATAATAATAAAAATATTTTCAGATTTATAATAATAATTATTAATTCTAATCCCTATATTATTCCATATACATTCTCAAAGTTCAAAGACTTCTAAATTGAAAAAGGATTATAAATTGAAAAAATTACAACACGGGCAAGACTTGAACCGGCATCTTCGGCGTTCCGTACTGTTGCTGTAACCTTACACCTTCATATTTGATTTTTAATTTATATAGTGCCGTCGTGTGAAAAATATTAAAGTTTTCAAAAGAAGACTCCTGTTTACTAACTGACACGATTTTTTCCTGGGATTCGAACTTAGGAACAAACAAAACTATATTGTATGGTTATTTTTACCTTTGACCGTCCTCTAACACGTTTTCCATTGTTTAGCCTAAGCCACGCATCCCAGCGGTGTCTGTAGACAGATATTGTGTTCCATCTTCCCAGGCGGATCGGTTCTGGTGACCGGAGCACCCCGGCACCACTTCCACAGTCGAATCTAGAATATATCAAATATAAGTACCTAAGAACTCATGACGTCCCGGGTTCTGAACCTAAGTATTTCTGCAATGAAAAAATTGCTTATACTAAAGTACACTTTTTTTTTAATTTAATTGAAATGAAATAGAAGTAAAGAATGTAAACTACATTGACTTTGGTATTTGTATATCTTTATTAATATATTGAAACTGAAGAGTTTGTTTGTTTGAACGCCCTAACCTCAGAAACTACAGGTTCGAAATGAAAAATTCTTTTTGTGTTCCTCGTACTATTAATTTAGGCTGCGATTGATAAGGCAAAGCAAATGAGAAAAAAAGGGGGGAAAATTATTTATATTTGAGCTTTTCCGTTGCGTAAGCCTCAAAATCGATTCTAGAAATAAAAAATATGTTTGTAAGAATGTTTCTGCTTAGTATGATGGCGACAGTATATGTCTATCTTATAAGATGAGCTCGCAAGAACGCAACGGCTGACGTCATGGGTAACATGTATAATATATAAAGTTGAGTTTGTTTGCAAAAATAATATGATGCACAAAATAACTATTCCACGCGGGCATAACTGGTTGAATATGCTTTGAAAAGTTTTAATACGGCTATATACAAACTAGAGGCACAGCAGCCTAATAAAAAAAAAACCTTATTTTCAATAAGGGAGGAAAATAAGATTGCGCATTTCGTTTAGGCGAAAACGAATTTGTACTATTATTTGTGTAAGTATTATGTTAACCATTTTGGGTAACTATGCTCTTGTAGATTAACATTTTTAGACTATAAAAATATAAATAAGTCATGTTATAAAATTGCAGTTAGGCTACTCTGCCTTTAGCGGTCTCATATACACTTACCTAACGAATGTATACTTATTTCATGAATATAATTCGAACTAAAGTTGTTTGTGTGATATCTTTTTTATTTTTTACCGTGCAGGTACACGTGGAGGACGAACATGGCTTTATGGATAATATTTTCGCAAACCCCCAGAAAATCTATCGGCTCCAGGGATAACGAGGCTGAATGAGGCTCAACATAGCGCGAATAATTAATCCGACGCATAAGCCTCATCGATTATTTAATTAATATCGATTCCGCATTACGCTTTGTGTTCTATGTGGCGCACTCTGCCGTTTTAAATAAGCTCTATCTTTTGTCTATGCTAATGTTATTGTCCGCGTTTATCTTAAAAAGAAAATTATGTAGATGGAACGTGGAAGAGGGAATTTTAGTGATGAAAAATGTCTAAGCGATTTTTCCCTTATTTCTCTTTTATTAAAGAATATTTTAGGTCTTTGAATACTTTGGTAAAATTTACTCGAGATATCGATTTTGCATGTTGTCATGAAAAAAATGGTCCTCGATATCAAACAGATCTAAAATAAACAATCTAGTTATATGAAACTGCAACAAATGCATTGTCTGTAGTCAACGCGAGTCCACGTTTCAAGAAAATGCTTTTAACGGTTAAAATGCGAAATATAGCGCGAAATTAAAACAAATTAAAAATAAGTTAACTAAAATATTCTGCGTTGAACCACCCTAAAAATTTTTTTTAAAAAAAAAAAAAAAAAAATTTCTTACCCCCCTTTAAAATTTAAAAAGTTATTTAGATTCGTCAATTTTTAATTTTTTTTCATTTGTCTGTCTGTTCATCGTGTTTCTACAGAGTGTTCAAAAGAGCAACATAACTGAGAAGAACACTCAAGAGACTCAGACCGACTGTTTTAACATGTCTTATAAACTAATACATTTTTGTAAATCTATTAACAGAAGCAATTCATATTACTGCCAGACGGTCTTGTCGTTAAAGAAATCGTTCACACAATAATACGCCTCAAACGCGATGCATAAGTGTACGGTCCCACCGTCAATACAAGTACTAGAATTTAAAAAAATGGCAAATAAACATCTTTGTCTTACACCCATGTGAAATAAGAGCAAATAATGCCATCTCTATAATATTAACTATCACGCTTTATACCGACCATTTTTCGTTTAGTGACTATGCTATTTCACCTCGTATTTATCTCTGAAAAAAAAGTGGTTCTACGACCCTCAAACTATTTGCCAAATAGGTCAAACAGAATAACCGGGTTCGTTGGTTTTATGATAGCAATCTATGGCTCGTTCAACAGATCGTTGGTTCGATCACCACTGGGTCCAATATGTTTTCAATCAATTAATAATTTTTCTGAAACATGTTGATCGTCGTCTGAAAATCTGAACATTAAATGAGCGGTAGGAAAATCGATATTCCTCCCTTGTCACGAGTCACTGTCCACAGATAAAAAACACTGAAGTTAATGGCGTTTCGGTTTTAGTCTGTGGTTTTCCGAATGTACAAAGCCATAATAGCCAATGTTATATGACTGGGGTATTTTCGTCCTTCCTCTACTATCATAAAAAACTCGGGCACTAGATGGCGCTCATTATTATTTTTAATCTACAACAGCGCTACAGCAATATGCAGCTTTTATTACACATAACGGGTTATGAGCGGTTCTATGACGTAAAATGAAATTCGCGAGAGGGTACTTTTGTATAATTTTTATTTAAATATACGTTTTACGCCGTTGAATGGATGTATGGAGCTGAGAAAGTGTTTCAGGTGATTCAGAAAGACGTTTGAATGCCGCTGCGAGGGTTAAAATTCCTTATTCATGGCTATTTCAATTTGTGTTTGCTTTAATTCTAGATGTTGCTTTTGGATTATGATTGAGTGGATGTCGCGTGTCGTAGTACAATTTTCGTGAAGTAACATTATAAATATAATAAAAAAAACAAAGAATTACATGTTTTGAGTTTGCTTAAAGAAAACGGTGTGTTTAATAATTCAAGGTGAGGTAAGGTCAGTAATGATTTCAAAAATTCATTGTTGACCACGGCATGAGTAAGTCCAACACATCTTTTACTTACTGTTGAATATAGGTTATATTATTCTGAATAACCACCACTACTTTAATATGTTATATTAATTCAAACCACAAAAATACTGTCCCGGACATTTTTTTAGATCAGTAAAAGAAGGACTATTCTTTCGTACACAGTTTTTTGGTTTCTTGAATGGTTTTCGCAGCATACGCAACGGAAGCCATCGATGATAAATAAGTTTCGCCATTTTTTCAAAATTATCCTCTATTCCTTTGCTTTTATTGGCCGTAGCCTGATGTTTTATAGCCTAAACACTTCTTTAAGAAGTAGTCCATCCAACAAAAAAACTGCTTTTAAATTGGAACTAGTACTTCCTGTTCTTAACTCTTCAGCTTTGTAATATTAGTAAAGATTAATAATATATTTCCTCACCTCAATTCCACGTGTCCGTTTCTCAGTATCAGTGCCAGATAATCGCCAGATAGATCATCATGCTCGCCAGTCAGCAAAAGGACACCCCTTGCCCGTTCGGGCCTCACGCGGATCCGTAATCTAACCCGTTTATAAGCGCCGCGCAGTGCGTGTAATGCTATCCAAGAAGACCCGGAAAAACGCGGCGCGGATATCTTTTGATCTGTGGACAATGGATAAGTTTATTATCTGTGTATGTGACGATACAGATTCATAAAGTTTTATTAGCCGTATTATTAGTAAGAAACCTTAATGCTTCTTTTTCATAGATATTTATACAAGTAATACCCCCCGCTGCCAGTTTTATTTAATTAAAAATAGAAAGTGTTATTCTGCTTTATACGAATACATTAAAATACTGTAGGATAGAAATATATATCGTTATGTTATAACTAAAAACATTATATATACCGGTATATAATAAATAACACACTAACGGTTTAAAACGCGATATATAATAAACTTTTTTTTAAATAAAACACTTTAACGGTTTAAAACGCGATATATTAGTTAAACTTATTTGATAATGATTTTTAACTTCGGCCCGACGTTTCGGATGCTTTGCAGCAGCCGTGGTCACGGGGTCACACTCTCTTCCCGTTTTAAACCGTCAAAGTGTACTACTCGCGGAAACTACAGACAGTATTAAAGTAAAAACTTCCTTTAAATGGAGTGAAAATGAGACTTAGCGCAAAGGTCCCAAAACGGGGCCCTAAAACGTTATTAAAAAAATGAGGGCTGATACTCGTAGATTCAATCTTCATTTATATGTAGAATGTGTTTGGAAATCATTTTCTAGTTTTTATTTTTATATTAAAGACAGCTTTGGACACACTGGACATAAATAGGTAGAAATGTTGAAATTCTTTTCAGGTCACTGAAACAGAGGAGTGAAATGTAAATTGGAAAGCTTAGGTTTTTTTAGATTCTGTTATTGAATCAAATGTTCGCCTGTCCTCCTCAAGTACTGTTTATAGTTTACGTGAGTAGTACACACATTAATAAACACAAAATTACTTAAACTTTTAAAATATGTCCGGAACGTCTTTAAAATAAATTGTAAATAAGTTAACTAATAAATTTCGCATTTTAAACAGTTCAAAGTGTTTTATCTATCAGCCTATGTGCGTTGAATATCATCCGAGACTTTCTATCTGTAATTACTAAGTATGTCTACGTAAGTAGGCGTTCCTTCGAATCAAAAGCTCTATTGATTTCCGTACCTTCCCTCACCCTTATTCCTAAGGAACTTGTGACTCACTGATAAATGCTTTGTGAAATGACCCACTTCGGTTCGGAACATTAGTAGGAATATCCACAGAACTCATTCATTAGACATCGTAGAGATTCCTCATAAAAAATTGATCTCTATTATCTTGTTCGTGAATTATGCGATTGAATTAAATTCTTCCTTTATAGGTTTGAAAGAAAGATTTCATTGGATTTTTCAGCTCAGTTATGTAATACGCTTTTAATTAGACTTAGTATCTATGGAGCTTGAAATTTAGGTTGTTATCTAGTTTGTTTCCTTTAGCTTTGTTATAAGTATTGTAATAATACTTTTAATGAATTCATTTTTTTTTAAACCTCATCTTTATAAATTATACTTGGTTAATTATAATATGTTTTAATTCGACCCAGTAGTTCCTCTGAATAGAGCGTTCAAAGAAACTCTTAAGCTTTACAATATTAGTCTATTTAAATAAAACACTTTCACGGTTTAAAACGCGATATATTAGTTAAACTTATTTGAAAATGATTTTTAACTTCGGCCCGACGTTTCGGATGCTTTGCAGCAGCCGTGGTCACGAGGAGACTTATACACAATAAGTTTAACTAATATATATCACGTTTTAAACCGTTACAGTGTTTTATTTAAATATGTACTACTAGCGTAAACATATCGCGTACATTTTAATTTGAAATGCCGACTGCCCGATATTTACAATAAAAAATGTTCATCCATAGATATTTTTAATCTTTCACGCCACGTCTTTAAAGAAGCTCTAATAAGCTCCTTTGAAAACAATAACATACTCACATTTACTTACACATACATACAAAAAACACACGTTTCGTTCTTTTTTATGCACCTACAATATATAACCCTGTCACTTGTGTAATCTTATAATTTTTTTATTTATAAATCCTTGTAATTGGCGTAATTAATTGCATAATCTATACTAATATATAAAGCTGAAGAGTTTGTTTGTTTGTTTGTTTGAACGCGCTAATCTCAGGAACTACGGGTTCGAATTGAAAAATTATTTTTGTAGTGAGTTAGAAAATTTATCGAGGAAGGCTATAGGCTATAAGACATCGCGCTGTGACTATAGAAGCGAAGATACAGCGTTAAAAGGGGAATATTTTTATCCTGGGGGGTTTGGTGGGGGAGGCCGAAAAACAAGCCGGACGCTATAATATGTCTATCGTTTAACATTACCTTGCAAGAACGACGGGAAAGGACGCGATCGATGTCGTGGCTAACAGCTTAAGTTTATAAAGATGACGGGGTTTGCAAAACTGAAATTAGATGCCCAAATAACGGTTCTCGCGGACGAAGTCGCTGGCACAGCTAGTTAATTTATAAAATAGCTATCCATTAATAAAACCCTTGAACTAAACACATATTAAACTAAAGCAATATTTCCCTGTTATCTCTCGCTGTAATAGTGCTAAATTTTACATCTGCGACGTAATTTTGGAGCGGGTGGGATTTAGCTGCAAGTTAAGCTGGCTTATTGTTAGTTAAGGACTAGCTACGTGATACAAGAAGCCTCTTCAACTTCGTAAGGCGTTATTCCATTCAACGAAGGGAATATACACATATGTGGAATACCTTTATTACAACCGGCGCGTTGTGGAAAAAATGCAAATCGTAATTGAACGAATAATATCTCTAATAATATAGATAGTTAAACATTTAAAAAACCTTTTTTAAAAAAACAGGGGGAAAAAAATTTTGGGGGCGTGTAAAATCTCCACGGTGTCCTCACAAAATGCTAAGCAATTTTCGGTAAGACTAACTGGTTGATTGTATACGACTATTGGCTAAAGGGTTTAGCCTAACTAAGAGGGAAAAAAAAAAGCCCTGGAAAAAAAATAAAGGGAGTCATGATCAAATAAAAAAAAAAAAAAAAAAAAAAATTTCCGAACGGTTAAACCGGATTGGCTAGCAATACGGTTAGCGCGAGAGGTTCTTGGCTCGAATCCTAGAAAATAAAAAATTTTTTATAAAGGGAGGTCTGATCAACTACTTGCCTGTTAAAGAACGTATCAGTGAAACGGACACAGAAATGTGTTCGCCCCATGCCCCACGGGGGAGAAACGGGATTACACAAAAAAACAAAAACAATATAAAGAGTTACAATTATCATATTATATAACTACAAACAGATACAATACAATAATATAAGTTGCCTCTGAGAGGTGACCACTCAGCTATGTTGGGACTAATGTCCCAACACAGATATTCTGTGGCCCCATCAGAGGCCGAGCTCACAAGCGGGATAGTTCGACATTTTTATTAATTAGGTAAAACACACCCCAACACAATTATATTAATTAATCGGTTACATATATAACAAACATTAGTTTTACAAAATAGGTACATTCTTAAAATTAATTCATTTACGTTTATATATTCATTTGAATGACCGAATTTCATAAAACATATTTAATTCGTAACAATAATTTTATTTACTTTTTTATAATTTTTCATCTATTGCTATAAAATACTTATTTCCTTGTATTATTCTTTTTTGCATAAGTTTCTATTTGATAAAAGAAAAATAAAAAAGGTATATTAGGATGCTAAATATTATTAACATTAGACATGACACCAACTAAGTATTTTTTTTAGTACAATTAAGCCGAATAGTACATTGTTGAGTTGAGATAGCTCTTGGCGAAACAGTGACATTTCTTTCGCCACTTTTACCATCTCAGAATGCACCAACTCCGTGTTTGGCCCAATATATTTTTTAAAGTCTTTATGTCGCGTCGCTGTTGCAGTGCTTATATAAACCGGGCTATCTGATCTCGTAGATGAGCCATCTAACTAAATAGGTTTATTCTGCACTAAGAATATCCATCGACCCTTAACAAGGTAATTAGGTTTGACGCTCGTAGCGCATTGTTTGTTGCAGTGGCACGCACAACGCATACATTTGATTGTCTCTGACGAGGTAAAATTTCCGCACACAGTACATTTTTGGGTCGTTAAAAACAGTATTATAAAAATAAAATGTATGGTAGATGCAGGTAGATAGCATCAACTGTAGGTAGTAATAACTTTATAAAAAGAAATTGTCTTCTAAGCAAAATTTGATGGCTATTACACTATGATACACTGAACCTTTAATGAATAACGTTTGGACAAAATAGCAGGGAGTAATACCGCAGTTACGACTACTTTTTTAGGCAATTTAGTATTTATTTACACTCGATAATTGTTAAGCAAGCTGCCTGCGTTAGCAACGCCCTCTCTTAATAAAGAACCACCAACGAAATATTTTAAAAACATAATTATACTCTAACGTGAAACAGACACACAATTGTGGCTGAACCGGTTAATAACGGGTTCACATCGTAACTCTGAAACATAAAAAAACAAGTTGTCCTAGTCAAAGGTTGGCGCGCTAAAGTTTTACAAGTCTGGTCATAGATGGCGCTAGATTACCTCTAAATCGCCGTATAAAAGTTACATTACGTTTATTGTTAAGGATTTTCTGTGCAAAACGTAATTTCCTTAGAACCAAAAATTCGACATTTTTTGTAAGCGCAACTAAATTCATTGAATTTAGTGAGCGCTATATTAAAGACACAAGCTACTGTGAAAATTGCCTATTGAAGAAAAACTGAAAGTTTCTTGTCGGTCACAGTCCTACGCCATGTGCATGGAAATTCCAGACCTAATAATAAAATTCATTCAAAAAATCGATGCATCAAGTACCAGCACAGCAATTAACAATAGCAATTGTATTTTTGAGAATATTCCTTACTTATAAAGCTTTATAATTGCCTCGGAATTTGTTGGAAAAGCCTTGATGGGCAGAGAACACGCAACTTCAGCACTTAATATCACGATACTGGTTTATTCAAGACTTGCATACCGTCTACGAAGAAAATTCTTACATAATTCTGTAAATTTTGCGGTTCCTTGGCTTCCTTTAGATTTTATTTTAACAAATAGGGCGCAGGAATAAAATAAAAGTCGAACATAACGCCCACAGAATAAAAAAAATGTTATTGTTATTGTACTCTATTGGACCGCCTCCGTAGCTAAATGGTTAAACATGTTGTATAGCATTTGCGTTAAGCGCGAGGGGTCCTGGGGTTCGAATCCCTGGGAAACAAATAATTGTTTCAATCGGGCAGGGCACAGAAGTCTGATTATCTCCTTGCCTGTAAATAAAACTCACCAGTGAAACGGACACAGAAATATTTTCGACCTACATCCCACGGGGGCAAACGGGTTTTCACTTTTATTCGAAATTATGGTTTTCACGTTGTTACAAATGAAACAATTAATTTGATTTAATATTTTAGTAGGAAAAATCTATATAAGGTCATCGGATTTAGTGCTAAGTAATTAAAAAAAAAAATCAAAATCTTTATTGATTATTTCTTTCAAGTTAGTTAAGAGCTAAGTTAGTTAGTTTTCAATAGAAGAATTAGTAGATTTATCGAACAAGCATACACTAGCAAGAAAATGTGCTTAAATTGTGCAAGCATTGAAGATGGCTTTCGTTTTGAATATTCAGTGCCAGAGAAATAGTAGCAACACTTGGGTAATAATAAAATTTAAAAGTTATAATAATTCGATGTCGCCGCGAAGTAAAGTAATTATGCGAAACTTGACTAGAATTGAAGTTTCCAAGTATAATAGGCGAGCTGATATCGGTATTATAAGAAAATCGCTTTAAACTTTTCAGTCTGTCGATTCTTTGTTAAGGCTCTTTGCACAGACTTCGCGATTGTGTTATTTTTTTCTCAACTTGAGCTTTAAGCATTATAAGAATGCATTGAAAGACGATGCACGAAGATAAATTAAGAAATAAGTTTATTGATAAGCTTATTGGTTCAGTTGCAGCCATTAATTAATCAACTGGTCGTGGATTTGGTCCTCGTGGGGTCCAATAATTTATAATTCTTCTAAAACATGTCGGGCTTTGTGTGATCAGGATCTTGGTAATCTGGGTGTAATTCGGGTAGCAATATCCTAATATAATATATATAATTCAGTCCGGGCGAAAAGCCGGTTTCAGTCTGTGGATTTCCGAATATCCTATGCTTGAATACTGTCTATAGTTTACGCGAGTAGTACACATTTAAATAAAACACTTTAACGGTTTAAAACGCGATATATTAGTTAAACTTATTTGAAAATGATTTTTAACTTCGGCCCGACGTTTCGGATGCTTCGCAGCAGCCATGGTCAGCAGGTGGGGAGTTAAAAATCATTTTCAAATAAGTTTAATTAATATATCGCGTTTTAAACCGTTAAAGTGTTTTATTTAAATATTCCATGCTTATCTGCCCTCCTCTATCATAAAAAAATGTTTTGTTCTTGCATTTTTATAGACATCATTGTTGTATTTTAAACATTTTTATTTTCATTTTGACTGATAAGCGAAACAAATATTTCAAATTTTAATCAGTTTTAAGCGTTGATAACTTAATGTTAACCATGTGATGACATTTAGTAAAAAGGTTTGAATGTCAGTTTGGTAAAGCCTTAACCAATCAATATAAAAGGGTTGCCTTGAGTCACCTTTGCGAATCTTTTGTTTCGTTTAGGCGTCTCGAACAATTAGCAGTTAATTCGCCTTTGTTTAATGAATATTTGATAGAGTAAAGGTTAATGTCATTAGACTTTTAATCATGAAATAGAACCGATATATTTAATAAAATCTAAAATACGTAATAAAACGCACCCCATAGCGATATATTAGTATTCTGTCTGTAGTGTACACCAGTAGTACATATTTAATAAAACAATTTTAACGGTTTAAAACGCAACACCTCGTGACCACGGCTGCTACAAAGCATCTGCATCCGTTAAGTAATATATTTCGAATTTTGCTCTGTTATTGTATGTATGTAAAAAGTGAGTTTGTTACTTTTTTACACGGAAACAGTTGAATTTAAAATTAAAGTTTTGGTAAATAGTGTGTGTTAGTTCTTAAATACATTAAAACTAATTGTATAATATTATAAATTACTTACAATAAAAACTAATTTTTATGACAAACTTACCGGTTTTGCAATTTCTTAGTTCGCAGGTACATCTTGGGTCTGTACAAGGGTCACAGGAGCAAATTTCAACGGCCTGTGTCTGCGCTGGCGATGACGTACCACCTGGCACCTGCGGAAATAATCATATTCAAATTCCGGATTCAAATCCACACTATTTGAATTAAATCCTTTTCTATTTCTTTTCTCCTGCACTTTAGGTTGCCTTGAAGAGATCGCAACTTAGCGATAAGGCCGCCTTTTCTATGAGTTTATTTCCTCTTTTATATGCTTTTTGTTAAGTATATTGTGGTGTATTACAAATAATAATAAATAAATAAATAAAAATAACATATTTTTGATGTTACTGCTTTGTTATTTATAAGGGTTTCATTCTTCGCTACTTAGAACAAATGACATGAATGTAATTACACTGAAAACAAACAAAAAACTTTTATTTGTAAATGTCCTTACCAAGTCAGATAGTAGGGACATTTATAAATTTTAACCAATAATAATCGACTTAAAAAAATACTGTGCGCGAAGAAATTCGTGTTTCGATATAGTTACATAGAAATGATTAAATAAATATATTTGTAAAGTCGGTGCCAACAATAATGTAAGTATCAAAGTCGGTCCATGAACGACGAATTCATCACAATAGATTGAGATTTTTTAAATTGGTAATTAACAAAGATTTTATTTTGGATTTTTATAGTAATATGTAGATTTACTAAGTAGATAGTTAATTGTCTGTAGTTGACGCGAGTAGATTACTTAGTTTAGTAATATTTACGCGTTTTAAATCGTTTAAAATGCATATAGAAATAGAAGATAGATAGTTACACCGGTCTTTACCTATTTGTTTTGTCAAAACATCATTAATGCATGCAGAACACTCTCAATTGAGATTTACCAGGTCTTGTTTCTAGTGTTTAGTTTTCACAAATCAGAACTTATTAGCTGATTTATTAATCTGAATTGAATACTCTTAAAACGTCGTTGATAGAACCCTTACTCACCTTTTGCTCTAAGCTCGGCCCCAAAGTAGTTACCCTCAGCTTATCAATATCTCCGGCCCCATCAGAAATTATATTCAAATCTGCTTTACTAACACCATCCTCTATCAGACTCCTCAATCCATCTATCTCCTTACTCTTCTCTCCTGTTAACGAATAGTTCTCTCTCTTTTCTTCTTTACTGATTGGTTGAACTGTTGTGTCGATATGTATATCGTATATATTACTTTTACTAATTCTACTGGACGGGGCGACTTCTAACTCGGCCGAGAAGGACACGTCCTTTTGGTAAATAACATCCTCTTTGACGTCTTCAGTTGGTTTTGTGGCGTTGAGTTCTGTAACAATTGCAATTGGTTAATCGTCGTGAAGGGAATTACTTGTTTTAGTTGACCATTAAGTCAATCTTAAGTATTTTTTTTGTATGAAGTAACCTATCAATGATAAGAAGTTGTCCCTCTCAACAGTCACTTGCAACCAATTGTTGCAATGTCTATCTGTGAATATTTTAATTGAAACGCAAGGCTTTAAGAATTTTAACTGTCAGTTACGATTGTCACTTCTACTTAAATGTTAGTTGAATATTGGGACTGACCATTAATGTTTATAATAAAACATTTTTTTATGATATAAAAGACAAGCTTGGGGTGAACTTAATGGTAGGTGAAATACTCCACACCTAAATAAGTTGCGCTGCCGGCCTATTTCGCCTGATTAAATACAGACATTCACGGACTGAAACTAAAAAGCAATTGAACTTAGTTCACTGTGGCTTTTCATCTGTGTAGCGGTTGTTGAAAAGAAAAATACGATATCAGCTACACTACACAAAATCCCGACCAACTAAAAGGATTTATTAGCATTTATAGATCCATAAATGTATTTATAATAGTGGAACTGAGCTATATTTTTTGTCTTTTGTTATTATTTAAACATTCTCCTTAGTTCATTAGAATTTTTGCTTGTTACTGTGACTTCGATTTTTATTTATATTTGGTTTATTTTCAAGAATGATAAGTCTCAAATTTAACAAACTAAAACACAATACGTAACAATTTAAGTAGTATTCGTAGTTTACGCGAGTAGTCTAATTTAAATTAAACGCTTTTAAAGGTTTAAAAAGCGGAATATATTATTTTAAACATGTTTTTAATTTAACTACAACGTAACAATTAAACGTTACAACTTGAGAACTGAAGAATAATACAATTGTTGTGATTGTGCCTTATAATAGTCATTAGTAAAAGCTAAATAAAGTAAGGATTAAAATATCTGTATTTTTATGAAAATTGTCTGCAAACGCGAAGCTGCCAAGCTATTAATGTTGATGTAAAGCCGAGTCTACACTCATGAATGTAAGCTACGAGCTACGTGACCTAGCGTTGAGCTATTTGAATTCCTTTGAAAGTTTATTTAAGTCTCGCGTCGAAAGTAATTCATCTCAAACTATCGTATTAACTTCTCGACTTGTTTCGTCTTGTTACGATTCAAAAGATACATAGCTACGGTGTTTTATCAGCTTAGTGATAGAATATTTGCAAACCTCCTAAGAAAGAAAGAAAATATAGAATAGGTCTTTATAAATTAGTACTGTTACCCACGACGTCGTTTGCGTCCCGTCGTTCTTGCAAGTTAACCTTTGAAGATATACACTCTCACATTTTTTTTAGATAACGTAAAGAGAAATCTTCGGTACATATTTTTTGAGTATCTTAAGCTGTTTTCGCAGCGTACCCAGAGCAAACCCTCAAAGATGACTAATTTTTGATAACTGCTTCATCGCTTCTGTTGGTTATATTTTATAAACTAGAGCCTTCCCCTATAAATGCTCTAATCAACACAAAAATACATTTTTAATTTGAACGAGTAGTTCCTGAGATTAGCACGTAAAAACAAACAAACAGACAAATAACTCTTCAGCTTTATATATTAATATAGAAATAGAAAAATTTAATGTTGAAGCAATATAGAGCATATTTAAACTTTTATTATCTATCACTTAGAGTAGCTATAATTTGGATTTGTGATTTATAATCTGTAACGCCACCTCGAAACTCAACTCTCCATAGTCGCAATGCAGCCATCGACTTAAGCGTAGTTCACACAATCAGCACGTTCGTACCACTCGACGTTTCCCGCCGCGTGGAGTTCAAGTGCTATTATCGTCGGAATGGCAGTCAAGACGCGAGAATTCGTTAGCACTTTTATAGTGTACAACTGGGCTTACAATTTCAGCATTAACGTGTCATTTCGCCAAGTGGACGCCGGAATTAGCTGACCCGGCTATTGATTGAATGGGAGTGGTGTCAACCCCATTGGTATACGTTTTTAGATACATACGTACTTATAGACGTATAGATACATTTCTATGTCCGAGTCATTGACCGAATAGGTTTTTTATATGTGTGTTAAATAAAAATCGTTATAAACATCGCGATTAAAAATTACAGTTTTATTTTGGACCTAAAAGCCTTGAATTTATACTACAAACTAAAAACTACTACTACAAAGAAATGCAAGAAGAGTAAACTAGAATGGCCTTTTCATCCACTTAAATAAAACTTAGGTGTTATATACGAACAAGTATTATCTGACAAATATAAGCGCAAAACAGTGAATATTTCTTGCAGGGTACAAGGACATTTTATTTAAATACTGTTATGTACTTACATAACGTAGTACCATGTTAGGTAAGTACAGTAGTGACATTATAACTTAATAATATTAATGAAATAACATTATTTAACAAATCAATAATAATAAAATATATATACATGCTAGATTCCAGAGAACGCTATAGGCAACGTTGATCAAGTACGATTGTAAGGAGGATCTAAGATGTACGCATCAAATGCTTGCAGTTCTAAGACGAGATTAATCTATGTACGAAATTGATTACGGCAGCTAAATTGTCGGAGTATTGGAAAAATGTCTGCCATTAATAAAAACGTGTGGGCTCTATGATTCATTGCCGCTCTACAGATGTTGTGATAAATAACGGGCGTCTGCATTTACGTTTTTCACATTTTCCGCCTTTCCACAAATTCCGCATACCAAAACGAGCACTGTATTTGGGTTTACAATTTGGATTTTTTTATTATTTTCATTCTCTATTTGATCTTGTGGTTATTAAAATATAATGAGATAACGAATATCAAAGTCCATATTGTTCAAAATATACTAAGATTTTTCTTGATTAGTGTGATCCAGGTGTTTGGAAATAATTAATTTCGAATCGAATGCTTTCAAAACTTTATTTATAACTAAATAAGCTAAAAAAAAGCAAACTATATCTGTTTATTAAACGTAAAGAAATATAAGCACAGAAAAACTAGATAGACACTTATATTTATGTAAAAAAAAGACAAATTGTCTTTGGCAGCATCGTATTACATAACAGTTTTTTGCTGGGATCCAAATCTTTTTATTTTATATACTGTTCTTACTTGATACGTTGATTGAGGTGGACAGACAGGCATGAATTCATTAGGTGGAAGGCAAATACAAAAATATATGCCTGGGATATAAAATGCGTCGACCTATTTCAGCTTCTCACCTAAACAGCCGTAGCCGTCGACGTGCAGCACGAAGCCCGGGCCACAGCCGCATTCGTATGTGCCGTCGTGCAGCTCGCGGCACAGCTGCTCGCATGGGCTGCCCTCGCCGCACTTTCCTGAAAGAAACAGGTTGTCTTGAATATAGATTCACAATACATATAGCCAATGTAGAAGAAGTTCATGACTTGACGTGACGTGATACATAGTAGAATAAAGCCGATATCGTGTAGATCAATTTATTACAGTATTCAGAAAAATATAAAAATAGTAAACTTATGTTTAATTTAATTAAACCACCAAAGGGTATAATTCGAGTTACACGGGGAACGTCAGGCCGTTCTTAAACTAAATTCAATCACTTTTTAACTCACAATTAAGTAGAAATATGCCAGGCCAGATAGTCTGTAAATAATATTCACGAAAAGCCTTTGTATACCAGCTTTTGTATAGCCTATTTTATACGCATCGACAAAAGCCGAAAATTACTATCGGCTAGAATACTATCATCAAATAGCAATTATCGTACAAAACACAGGATGATCAACAAAACCTATATTTGCTCCGGGCGTCATTTATCACAAAAAATAATACAAAATCCGCGATAGTTTCCATTCGTGCCAAGAGCTGCAAAAAAGGTATTTGACCCAAAACGATATGATAGACGATCGTAAACAGAAATAGTCGAGTAATGGACATTAAATTGAACAACTTGCTGTTTTCTGCTCGGCTGCGGCTTGAAAACACTTTCGGGCAACAATTTTTGTTAATGTGATTTTGGTGTTACCATACACTATCATTTTAGCTATGTAACCAATATTCTATCAATAATGACAAGGTAAAGTAAAAGTAAAGACTTTTAATGTGGTTTTTGGAATATTAAAAACATATTCAGGTGAATTTTTACTTAGTATTATTTTCTATTGGGGACACCGAGAGACTGGGCTATCAGTGCATATTTGCTGCAAAAAAATTTATCCGTCACCCCATTTGAAGGGGCCATCGGCTTATCCAACACTCCGATTTTAACTTAAATAATAGTAAAATAAATTAATGATTTAAGGAATACAAGAATTTTAATGCCGTGCGCCTCTCGCACTTAGTTTGTATTATTCGTATTTGATACAACTTTAGTCTCTGTAAAATCTAATTGCCTATAGAATAATCTAATAATACTCACTAAGTATTTTCATAATTGTCATGACGCGATCCGCCGGCGCCGGCGCCGTTTGTCCGCGAAACATTTTTTTACCCCTTACTCGGTACTTGCCAGCTCCCCAAGCTACCCTCCACAAGGCGGTACTCCAAGCCGATACTGATGCCCCAGGCCAACATACAAAAAAAAAACAATAAAAGAATACATCACGCATATACATTTAATAGTTTTTTTTAATGTTGAACGGGCAATTGCCAATACAAACTTACTATAAGCCTCTTACACATTGTAATTACCTATTTACCCGTGAAACAAAGCAATCGGTCTCGTCGTCGTACGTTGAATATTTTATTTGCGCAAGGGCTACATTTGATACTTACGTCTTCCTACAATCCGTCTTGTGGGATGACTAATTAGGGGTACGGTTTGCTTAGTCTAATTAGGAGAGCTTTGTTCTACACGTATGTTACGGTATTATATGAATGAATATTTTGTTATTTCTGGGAAACTATAGTGAGTATATATATATTAACTTAGATTTTATAAAGAAAACCATATATTTTTGCACGAATACTTTAGGTATTTCTAAGCCGTGAGAAATCACATTTCGGGTTGAGTCTGTGGATTTCCAAATATCTAAAGCCGAAGTTGGTCCACAGCACATCTAGTATACATGTTATATGGCTGGAACATTTAACCTTCCATCAAGTGAATCGTATGCTCATCTATCCTTTACTATAATAAAAAAATCGAACGGAACTCGCGATTAACAAAAAAAAATCACAAAATCAATAATCTATTCGGCACACAATTTAAACCACTTAAAATTCAATTAAAAACAAACAATGTCAAGAAACAATAAACAAATAAAAAAATATTAAACAGACAAAAGTGAAACAAATACTGTAAAGTTAAATAGTATGATAACAACTACTATATATAGTTTTTTTTATGAAGCGTAACCATTAACGAAGTCCTTGGAAATCGAATTTGTAGATTAAACGATAAGTTATACAATCGATAAGCATTTAAAATAAAGCTATGTAGTTTAAGCTAAGCTATATAAATTAAGTATTTGTTAATATGGTACAACGGACATAAATCAAGCGATTAGCGGTAATTAATTTGTCGACGCATTAATGAGTTAATTAACACCTTAGAGTTATAATTGGGAATCGAGCTTAATCTTGTACGTCACTTGTGATAGATGGCGAATACTTTTGGGAGTGTAGGAAATGTGATAAATTAAGATGCAGTATTAGAGTCGAGAATAGATTTTTTTGTTTCTAGCAAGACAAGACTTTGACGGGCTAGTTAGTATAATGGTAGTAATGTACCGCTAATAATCAACGGACCGTAGGTACAATCGTTAACGGGGTCCGAGATGTTTCACGACTCCGCCCACAGATGGAGAGCCGTGAAGTTTATTCACTTTTCGGTTTCAGTCTGTGGATTTCCGAATATCCAAAGCCAATTTAGGTCGACAGCGCATCTTGTTTAAATGCTGGCGATTGTCCATGCTTGTATGTCCTCTAGCATTAAAAAGACAATAAGGTGAAACACCGTGAAAAATGCTGCTGTTTGCAGCATTTTTCACGGTGCTTTGGCATCCGAATTGTCGGGCCGTAGTTAAAATCATTGTAAATAAGTAAACTAATATATTTCAAGTTTTAAACCGTTTAAAGTGTTTTATTTAAATTTGTACTACTCGCGTAAACTACTGACTACTACATCTTGTAATAAATAAGATACATTAAAATTTTATGGTCAGTATTATCTATAGCTAAAATAGGACGACAGTGTGCATGTGTTGTCAAAATGTTATATAGCTGGGTTATTTCAAGTACCATGAAGTGAAACCTATCTTCTTCTCTTTCATAAAAAAACTAAAGGCCGTATACCGAAAATACAAAATATTAAGTCTTGTAATCAGTTGGGTAAAAATAAAGCAAACTAATAACTAGAGCCATTCTTTAAATGGAGAACACGAAAATCCACTTAAACAGTTACCTAAAAAGATCAAATATTTAAAGGTTCTCACTGCTAAGAGGACTGTCCTTTTGTGACTAAAAAAAATTAAGCGTAATTAGATAAAATGGGTGATCTTACGCTTTTTTGTGTTAGTGATTGTTTTTATGGTGGAGTAGAATAGCAAAGCAGAGGCAGAAGACAGCCATATAACATTTACACAAAATGCGCTGTCGCCCTATTAAATTGCTCAGTTTTTCATCTGTGCACGAGAGTTCGTAACCCGGACGGCATTTTTATATACCTACCACTCATTTAATATCCAGATGAAGTCCAACATGTTTCAGAAAAATTATAAATTTATTAGAAACACGATCTAGTTGGCCATCGAAGACATTCTTTGCTACTATTACACCAACAATTCCATTAAAATATAGTAGTAAGTATAAAATAATTTTTACGAATAAGTTTTAGACGCTAAAATGTGTTGTCGACTGTAAAGGATCTAAACAGACCGTCATATTTTCTAATTTAAATGATTATTTTAAAAAATTACTTGAAATATAAATTTTTGTCACTCTTCCCCACAGTTCGCATGGTGTAATGCCTAAATTGCCTTAGTGAAACTAAGCCTTTACGTATAAAATCAATTTGTTAACGGTTTAAATGGGCGTTAGTTTAACTTATGTTTAAATTATTCTTATTACGACCCGACGTTTTGCATGCTTTGCAGCTGCCGTGGTCGTGGGGAGACGTCAGGTTTTGAATCGTTAAAGTGTTTGATTAAATGTGTCGCGTAAACTACAAACAGTATTCAAGCCATTATGAGTTCGATCTCTCTGTATTTATGTAAAACTAGTATTGCGTTCGTTAGTTACCAGGCAAACATCTAAAATAGCCTAATGACATCTAGTATCTATCAATTAGTTAGGCCACATTGGATCGACTCATTCAACAGTGCTGCATAATGAAATCAGGGGAACTCAGTGAATCAAGTAATACGCTTATGTACCTCGCAGCTTCAAACCGTTATAACGGTATTGATCAAACGAATTTTGAAACAAAAAGATCGCAAAGTTGGCCGGGGGGTTGATTTTCAGAATCGGACGCGTAGGACTTTCCCGGGGTAATGCCGTTTTGAGGTATATTTTGGAGCAGTTATTGTTCGAATTTCAAAAGGATTAAGCGACCAGTATAAATATATAAACGATAGTTTTGTGTTTGCAAGATTGATATTATTATGTTAATACAACTCTAATAAGTTATTGGTGATAAAAAATAATGCATATATTTCGATCAAATTTAATAACCATGTATTCGGTTCTTGCAAGTTAATATAAAAATATTTTTCCGATTATTTAAAGTAAGCATTTTCATACATATTTTTTGGTTTCTTAAAAAATTTTCGCAGCACATGCTACAGAAGCCCACAAAGATAAATATTTTTTCCCATATTTCCACTGTCTCCCTTTCCCACTTTATTGTGTTCCTATTGATCTCAGCGATGTATCTATCTAACAAAAAAATAATCTGAGCTCCGTAGATTAGCATTTTAAACTTACTCTCTTACTCTAAGTCTCTAATTCTACATCTTATAATTGTAGATCACTATAATATTTACGGCTCGACATTGAAAATATGAATATAATAATAACACATCACACTTGGTTTCTTTGAATTCTCGTTAAGCATCGAGTTGTTGAAATAAAACAGTATTTTAGATTGATAGTTACGTAAGCCAAATGTACTCTACGCCTTATATAATATACTAAAACAAATAAACATCTCGTCAGGCCATTTAGGCGTGAAAAACGTGTCATGTCTTATTGTTTTCTTTCATTCAGATTTCAAATAAACGGTATTTCACTAACATTTTAAACTTTTATAATTCTGCTTTAGAGTAGAAAAGAAAAGCTTAAGAAATAAATTCTTTGTTTTGAACTTGCAGTTTTAAAAATGAACCTGTCCTTGAATTTGTAGCAGAGGTAAATGTAG